TGCTCGCCAGACAGAGACAGAGAGACAGAAAGCAAGAAATCACCCCCCAGAGGGGATGGCCACGCCGCAATCCCTCCTCTTCTGTTCTCCTCTCAGGATCTTGGGCATGCACGCACACGTGCCCGACGTTTTAAGCCACCGGGTCCGGGACTCGAACCGCGGTCAACTACGTGGGAGGGAGTCCAGTGGCATAGCCATTATGCTAAGTGCTGGTCCCAAAAATAATTTTTTTAAAGTTCTGGGGAAAGAGGGTATTACAAATGAAAAGGTCAGTTGGAAAGTGGATTTTTTTTTTTTTTTTTTGGAAGAAGGAAAGAAAATTCTGAGGGGCTGGCAGGAGGCATGGTGGTTGGGGTGCTGGACTCCCACATGGCTGACTGCAGTTTGAGTTCTGGACCTGGGTGACTTGCTTTCTCACTTTCCCTTTCTCTCTCTCTCTGGTCAAATTTAAAAATAATAAATAAATAATTCTTTTAAAAAAAAATCTGAGAAGGTAAAGAAAGAACCAGTGCCACAGGGCCAGATCATGAGAAAGATGATGGGAATTAAGCCAATGTCTGAGAGTTGGGTAGATCAGGACAGGTGTCAGGTGTTCAGGCAAGAAATCAAATGGTGAATGAGAGCAGTTGGGAAAATGTGCTCTTTCTGCTGATCTCCTCAAATCCCCTTCCCAATGGTAAAGCTCCAAAAGCTCTTTCCTGCTTGAAAAACACAATATAGAGGCCAATGGACACGCACCCTAGGAAGACAAAATTGCATATACCTTTAAATGCATTTCATCTTCAACACTAAAAATTAGGACGTTATTAAGTTTATGCTTTAGTGTTGTCACAAAAATCTAAGCCTGTTATTATAGTTTTAGCTTTGCTAAGAAAAAACGTGACCTAAGAAACCCGAGTGTTAAGAGATGAACTAAACTGGGACCAGCAGTTAGCGTAATGGCTATGTCGCTGGACTCCCACGTAGTCGACCGTGGTTCGTGTCCTGGACCCGGGGCTTAAACTCATGCCAGGTGCGTGTGCATGCGAGCCCAAGATCCCGAGAGGAGAATGGAAGAGAAGGGATTGCGGCATGGCCATTCCCCCTGGGGCGTGATTTCTCTCTTTCTATGTCTCTGTCTCTGTCTGTCTGGCGAGCGCATGCACCCTATAGCAAAAACCTCTCCAAAAAAAAAAGAGATGAACTAAACTGTGGTTTGTTTTTCAGTCAGAAACATGGTTAGGTGTGTGCTTGGGAGATACTGAAGTAGAAGATGCAAATTAGGCATTTCGCCTGGTAGGGAAGTCCCTAAGTTGCCTCCACCACGTCCAAAACATTGTTTCCACAATGTTCTATTTGCCATCATATTTTTTCTGGCCATTCAAATCCTCTCTTCTCTCTAAAAGACGAATCATCAGGAAAAGTACATGGTGTAAAAATCAGTGGGGAGTGACCAGCAGTTAGCGTAATGGCTATGTTGCTGGACTCCCACATAGTTGACCAGGGTTCGAGTCCCGGCTGGACCCGGTGCCTTAAAACTCATGCTGGGCGTGTGTGTGTGTGTGTGTGTGTGTGTGTGTGCATGCCCAAGATCCCGAGAGGAGAATGGAGGAGAAGGGATTGCTGCGTGGCCATCCCCTCTGGGGGGTGATTTCTCGCTACCTCTCTCTGTCTGTCTGGAGAGCGCACACACCCTATAGCAAAAAACCTCTAAAAAATAATCAGCTGGGAAAGTCTGTTCATATTACTGTTAGAAAAGATCTTATTTAGCCTACAGCACTCGTTTGCCTAGTAGTGCTGAGTGTATGAATATGGACGGAGTAACTGGGCTGGACTGGAGGCAGCTTGAGTACCACGTGGGGCTAGCCCCCCCCACCCCCCGCCCCACAGGACAGTATTTTTTTTTTTTTTTGGTGGTGGATGTCTAAATGCATCTCATTAAGTTTAGTTCTTCAACTAATAATGTAGGAAGCCTTGCTTTCTTTTTTTTTTTTGAGAGATTTTCACTGTAGGGCGCGTGCGCTCGCCAGACAGACAGAGAGAGACATAGAGACAGAAAGCGAGAAATCACCCCCCAGGGGGGATGGTCACGCCGCAATCCCTTCTCCTCCATTCTCCTCTCGGGATCTTGGGCACGCACGCACATGCGCCCGGCGTGAGTTTTAAGCCACCGGGTCCGGGACACGAACCGCGATCGACTATGTGGGAGTCCAGCGACATAGCCATTACGCTAACTGCTGGTTCCCGGAAGCCTTGCTTTCTGAAAAACAAAGAAAACAGAGGCATTGCTTTGGTCACAGAGAGAAAACTACAATGGGAGAAAGTATTTTTGAAGGGAATTCAGATTGACAGTTGAAAATCTCACCTCCTTCCTTCTCAGTGAAAGATGTGAAGCAGCTGTTGTACTCAACACTCACACTAGGGCCAGCCTGACATGGAAACAGGCTTCCTCCAGGGAGCACCACGCAAAGGCACACGCTGGGGCAGCCAAAGCAGTAAGACTGGATTTACAGGAGTTCTGTCTTGGACGGGAGACTTTGATGGTACCGGAAACTGGATCAGGCTCACATATAAGATTCTTCTCTATCAACTTGCCTGCTTTCATTTTCCATTGCTGAACGAGATGCCTCAATGTGCATGTGGCGAGGAGGCACCGGCAATAGCATATACGTTCTCTCCTAAGCAGGCCATCAAATGTCTCATGGGTTTGGTTTTTCAGGTGAACGCGAATGGCAAATTCATACTGAAGTTAATTTATCACCCCTACAAACACAGAAATCCTTGGTAGCCAGAACCTGGGTTGATCAATGATTCATGGTAAAGCCCAAATACTCTCTCCTTTGCACTATGTGTTGTTGGCATATTTTATTGTGAGTAGAATGCCTGTAGGAAAATGCTTGCCTTGCCATTAGAAACAGACATTTTTTAGACCATCCTTAAAATGTTCTCTTTTGTGCTACCAAGAATACAGAGAGGAGATATTAATGGATTCCCTGCATAAAACCTAGAATTATTCCAGAGCTCATTACAGTACTATGATTTTTTGGGGAAAAGAGTGGAAATAACTGTTGGCCATAGCAGGACTGAGTTGGGCATATCGCACAATCTCACACACACACACACACCCTGGGCCATTTACTAGCCCCTGAATTGACAGACTAGTCAACTCATCAGTTAAACAACTTCACAAACAACCTGAATTTTCCATTTTGACCATCTTGTTAAACAAACAAACAAACAAACAAAAACGTGGGCAAGTTGGCAGCTTCTAGTTGCCAATTGGCTAGGATGCCCCAGAACACCCTCCCTCCTTAACATGCACTGTTTCAGTGCTAAAATTCCTGTCCCAGAAAGATGGTGATGGGGAGAGCTAGCAAAAGTGTGAGCAAAAGAAAGGGCTTATGTGTGATAGAAACACTAGTCCCCTCATAAATATGAATCACAATCCCTTTCCCATCTGTTTTTGACACAAAGCATTATTAGGATCAGTGTGCTATCCCACTTGCACTGCAATGTGCAAATGCTCTGAAGAGGACAATCACTTGTTGGAATATAAATAGT